TCAACTGTTCTCCCTGCGCTCTGCTACGCAGCAGAGACGTGGCCTGACACTGTGGCTACGTCAAAGGCTCAACTCACAGAGCGCTGGAACGAACTTCTGAAGTATAACCGACGCACTCAATATCTCGTCGGACTTCACGTTCGGATATGAGATCAATGTCTCGTCTTAGCGCTCCAGCGTGATACAGCTCTAAAGCAAAACATCGAGGGGCTGGTATATAATGAGAAGGACAGAAGACAGTTGGGCCTAAGAATCTGGAATGAATCTCTCGCCAAACCAAACGTCTCGAGGGAGGCCACCGACCAGATGACGTGTTTGTTGCACGGAGGAACCAACTGAATTCTCAGCTGGAAAAGACATATGCACCTGAACCTCGCGAACGTCGCCGCCGCAATTCAATACCAACATCGTGGATAGAGCGAGCGAGAGACGAAACGGATGGAAACGATGCTGGGGTCTACACAACGAGTGAAGACAGTTCATCTAAGTATTCAAGTAAGTAATAAAGTAAGAAACCTTTTTGCGTCGTGCATAGCATAGGCCTCATCGAAACATTGCACGTTACATGGTAATGGGATATAGGAATGCATAAAGTATAATTATACCTTATACCATATTCTCATACACTCATCAGTCTCTTTACGCCCACAAATGATAACATTTTGTTTACTATTTTTATGTCATTTTCGCAAATATACTTCGCAAGAGTTGTATTTCCGATATAGCAACTGATGTAATAATATACGGGGAATAATGAATATGAACATACTTATGTACAGGATGCGGAAGCATCTGCAAAGATTGTGGGTAACAATACTCTTATTGGAAATACTTTGATTCATTAAAAGCTAAACCACTTCGATTTCTAGCGTGCTCCTATCGCTAAGGGTGATCTTCCAGACATTTCTGGCTGCGCTTTTTGTTGAGCATTTCATTACGAGAATTTGGAATTGATAACGGTCCGGCGCTTATAGTTATGTTGAGATTAGAAATGAAATTCTTTGAAGTTCTTTTCCTCTTTCTGGTTTACTTATTCTCAAGCTTCAATTTTAATTAATTTGGGTGTTGATTCCTTTCATATGTAGGATCTATATGACGAGACGAAACACAGGAAAGCTGAGGATTCTTCAATTTGAGGAATCTAGCAGTGGTCCTCCAATCATCGCAATTTACACGTTTCTTCTAAGTAGATCGGCAATAGAAAATCTGTAATAGAAAAGAGAACGTAATGAGTGGAAAGTTTTTGACACCTTTTGACCACTCATAACTTATAGTATTTCGAGAAGTTTTTTTTT